CGTGAAGCAGGGTGTGCTCTATAAAGATCCCATCAAGGAACTCATAGTAGTACCAACTTTGATGGAAAACGAGGTCATTAGAATAGCTCACAGACAAGGACATTTCTCAGTTAAAAGGACAATGGAATCAATTGAAAAAACATTCTATATCCCCAGTCTGGCGGCAAAAGCCGAAAAGGTTGTGAAGAGTTGCATCGAATGCATAATATCCGAAAGTAAAACCGGTAGGAAGGAAAGCTTTTTGTCACCAATTCATAAAGAAGATAGGCTTCTTGGAACCTACCACATAGATCACGTTGGTCCTATGGAAGCCACAAGTAAGTCCTATAATTATATTTTCGTAGTAGTCGACGCATTTTCGAAGTTCGTATGGCTGTACCCCACACGAAATACAGGTACTGATAGTGTAGTGACAAACCTTAAAAAACAATCAGCCCTGTTCGGTAACCCCAAACGAATTATATCTGATAGGGGAACGGCGTTTACGTCAAACCTGTTTAAGGATTACTGTGTTAGCGAGGGAATRCAACATTTACTAATCGCCACAGGTGTCCCGAGGGGAAATGGCCAGGTAGAACGCATGCATAAGATCGTRATTCCGATGYTAGCAAAGATGTGTATTGAAAACCCGAAGTCGTGGTATAGGTATTTAGATCGAGTTCAGCAAACCATAAACAATACACCGCCAAGAAGTACAAAGTTTTCACCCTTTCACCTTCTCACAGGTCTTGAAATGCGCGTTAATGCTGTGCCAGCGCTAGCCGAGATRYTAGACGAGATAACTATTGAAGATTTAGATAAAGAAAGAGAGTTACAACGAAAAGAAGCGCAAGGCAATATTGCAAAAATTCAGGAAGAAAATAAGAGATATTTCAACAAAAACAGGAAAGAAAGCATACAGTATAGGGTTAACGAGCTAGTTGCGATTAAGCGAACCCAATATGGTACWGCTTTAAAATTGAGACCCAAGTTTTTCGGTCCGTACAAGATAAAACAGACTTTAGGACACGACAGATACGAAGTTGAAAAGGTGGGGGATCACGAGGGCCCGGGGCACACGACGAATGTAGCTGAAAATATGAAAAGATGGCAACGTTCATTCGAGGACGAATGCAGAGTCAAGAGGGCCGAATGTGGGATGGCATCCCTGGCAGAAGGGGAAAATAAGAATAGGGACAGTACGGAAAGGACAGCGTAGGTTGCTCTGATCGCGATGAGC